GCTTTCTCTCCACTGGGCCAGCTGATCGCTCTCTCTGTGTTGATATTACTGTTGTTAGGTGCCATTGAGTCGCAGGTGACTCATAGCAATGCTATAAAGGAGATTCTTCAACGCTTGGATGTCTCTCTCCAGGTTCAGAGTATTTCCGGAGGCAAGCTATTATGGAAGTGGATGCCACTCCTCCTTCCCAGCTTGTTTTAATCCGGGGGAGCTCCACCCCACTCTACCTCCACATTGGGTAACCAGCCATTAACGCATTTGACACATCAGTGTTTCAGTGCTCAGACTCATAGCAACCACAAGTTACTGCTGTATGGCAACTTGTACACCAGGGCTATACGACCTAGAGGAATGTCTGTGTTTAAAGAGAAGCCCACAGATATCAAAATTGTGTAGAAGTTCTAAATGTTTATTTTTAATTTTGGTAGTTACTCCTACATGGACCAGAGGGAAATTTACACGGTGCATGGTTAACAGTTTGTTAAACTATCTGGCCTGTAAAGGTATAACTACAGAAATTAAGAGTAGATATTTTTAGCAATGAATAATACTTAAATTCTCCATGCTGAGTGTGATGTAATATATATACTGCCCTCTAGATGGAGCCAAATTCTAGTTATGATCGTGAAGAGGTGGTAGGGAATTCACAGCTTTGTAAATAATAGTCCAGGTCTCTACAGGAAAGTGTGAAAAGATTGGAAAAGGTGGTCACTAATGTGATGACAAGAATTTAATTCATTGTAGTATGGGAATGAGAATGAATGTGGAAGGGGCCGGTGTATTATAGTGAGAGGTAAGTGATGTTAGCAAGTTTTGAGTCCTGAAGATTTCAAGTAGGGACTAGGAAAAATTTCTGTAGAGTCCACGTCACTCTTTTGAAGCCAGCTGCCGATTGTGGTATGAGCACACTGTAACATTATTGTGCCATAGAGATTTTGTTTGTGTGTGTGTTTTTTTCTTTATGTGTGTGTGTGTGTGTATAGAGAGAGAGTACTCGTATTAAAAGTATGCTATATATGTTTATTAAAATCAGTAATGCCTCTGTTAGAAATATTTGTTTTACTCATCTTGGATATGTGTGTGTATGCAGAATGTCTAAAATTAAAAACAGAGATGATATTGAAGAAACAAGTGACCCTCTCCTCGTAATAGTTTTAAATATAATTACCTTTATTTGTAGAGGTCAACTCTGTCTTTTGTATTGTAGTATAAATGAATGACCACATACTACTTACATAAGTATTCATGGTCATAAAACAATTAAAAAGTCTGGTAAATAAGTTGATTATATCAACTTAAGTTACATGTAATTTCTTGATGACCAGGACCGCCAGTTGATATTTACAATGGTTGAATTCTTGGCCTTTTTCAGTTTTGTTGGGGAGGAATGAGAGAGACCCTTTCCCAGTTTGTCAATGAACTGTGAGTGTCCTCTTGTTCAAGCGTTTGGCTACTGCAGCCCTCAACCACCGCCTCTTGGTCACTTTTGGGCCACTTCTCCAATCTTGGGATGTAGACACCAGCGGCCTAGTTTACTGTCAGGATGCCCGGCATGGGACAGAGCCACTTGGTCTCTCAAAAAATGCACATTTCTTCCTAGGCAAAGAATCTCAGAGTTGTGGACACTGGTGAATAGTTTAAATGAGAAGTGGGGCAAGATGACAGGCTCTGGTGGGTACAATCCCAGAGCTCCTTTACATCTTGATAGGTCCCCATACTTTATTGAAAGACCAGCACTGCTGGCCCAGAGATCACATTTTTAAGAATCAGTGTACTAGGTAATGCCCTACATGTTTACATTTATTGTAAAACAGAGACTAAGGTATTTAAAAGACGAGGAAACGGAAAAAAATCCAGCTCAACCATTTTATTGTTGTGATTCTTCTTCTTAAAGAATTTCTTTTGCAAAAAAAGCTAAATTATTAACTTTATCAAGAAACATGTATCATGAAGTAAGTAATAATAGGCTTGAATAAAATCCTAGTTATTGGAAAGTACTTAGTGGTAAACACTTAACAACCAAAACTAAAACAAAAGAAAACAAAAACCCCAAAACCCAAACTACCTTTTCATCTTTTCTTTTCATCAAATCCTCTCAGTTGATAGTTTTTTTCCTTCTTTATTTAAAAAAGAAAGAAGTGGAAAAACTTTAGTGCAGTTAGTGGGAAAATCAGAAATAATCTTCTTGTTGTTGTTGTTCTTGTTGTTGTTATGTGCTGTTGAGTCACTTGCAACTCATAGCGACCCTATGTACAACAGCCCTAAACTCTGCTCTGTCCTGTGCCAATCACACTATCTCTGACACTCCAATCCTGATTATCCCAGTCACTAAATCAATCCACCTAATAGAGGACCTTCCCCTCCTGCGCTGTCCCTCCACCCTCCCAAGCATGATGTCCTTCTCCAAGGACCGGTCTCTCCTCACAACATGTCCAAAGTATGTTAGACAGAGCCTCAGAATCCTTGCCTCCAAGGAGCCACCCGGTTTAACCCTTTCCAGGACAAATCTGTTTGTTTTCCTAGCAGTCCATGGTACTCTCAAAACTCTTTTCCAGCACCACAGCTCAAAGGCAACAATTTCTCCTTCTATCCTCCTTGGTCATTGTCCAGCTCTCTGATGCATAACAAGTGATTGTGTAGACCATGGCCTTTATCAGACGCACTTTAGTCTCCAGAGAGATACCATTGCTCTTCAGTACTTTGGAGAGGTCCCTAACAGTAGACTTTCCCATGGCAATGTGTCTTTTAATTTCCTGGCTACTGGTGCCAAAACTGTTGACTGTGGAATCAAGCAAACTAAAGCTGTGAACAGTCTCAATCTCTTCACCATCCATCCTGATGCTGCCAATTGGTCCAGTGGTAAGAATCTTTGTCTTCTTGACATTGAGCCTCAATCCATATTGGAGGCTGCAGTCCTTGACCCTGTTCAGCAGGTGTTTCAGGTCCTCTTCAGTTTCAGCAAGCAGTGTTGTGTCATCTGCATAATGAAGATTGTTGATAAATTGTCCACCAATCTTAGTCAACAAATATTTATCAAT